TATTCTAACCCACCCTGCCATATTTTGCCTTGTGGGAGGAAACCGGAGCAAAATATAAAATTCAATTACCTTGAAAACACAGGTCTAAATTGCAATCCCTAAAATTTAGAATTTTCTCTTAAATCGCTTTAAATCGCATTAAATCGCAGTGCTTGAAAGTCCCAGTTTTTCCTTAAATCGCCTAAAATCGCCCAAAATCGCATTATATCGCAGCGATTTAAGGCGATTTACCGCCCCAGAGTAGGCCTAATATTGGACATGTATTAAATGTCAAATCCTTGATTTCCCTGTCAAACGCTAGTGGTAAAAGATTCAGAGTCAGCAATCTGTCCTTGTAGGTCATGTCACCTTTCTTCCATTGACGGATTCATTTTGTTGCATGCCTTTGGACTAATTTGTTATTATATTGGGAGGGACCCCAGACCTCTGTGGCATAGCATAATTGTGACTTGACGAGCGAAAGATACAGAGTGCGCCGAATACTGCGGTCTGTAAGCAAAGGGCATGTTCTAGGTCATGTCACCTTTCTTCGATTGAAGGATTCATTTTGTTGCACGCCTTTGGACTAATTTGTTATTACATTGGGAGGGACCCCAGACCTCTGTGGCATAGCATAATTGTGACTTGACGAGCGAAAGATACAGAGTGCGCCGGATACTGCGGTCTGTAAGCAAAGGGCATGTTCTTCTAAGCAAACCCAGCAACCTGTTCGCCTTGACTTTTATTTTATTGATATGGGTTGTCCATGAAAGGTTACTGGTCACTGTGATTCCCAGATCAACTTCATCATTCACACGCTTCAATTCGGATGATCCCAGATAATATTCGAAAAGAAAAGGTGTTTTACGGCGGGAGAATGTCAATATTTTACACTTTGAGGGATTAAAGTTGATGTTGTTATCCTTACTCGAAACATCCGCACACGACAAAGCTTCTTGTAACTGTGAACAATCCTCTGGAGTTGAGATTTCCCTATATAATTTGGTATCATCAGCGTACAGTCCTTTTGATGTAGATTCAGGAATGACATCAGGAAGATCGTTAATGAAGAGTAGGAAAAGCATTGAACCCAAGATGCTTCCCTGTGGAACGCCAGAAGTGACAGGGGACCATGACGAAGCAGCACCCTCTACAACAACACGCTGGGTACGGTTATGCAGGTAATCCGAGAACCATCTGTAAAGGTTTCCTGCGATACCGTAATCTTTCAGCTTTCTTAAGAGAATAACATGATCCACTAAGTCGATGGCTTTAGCGAAGTCAAGAAATAGAATGTCCATCTGGGTATTTTGTCAAGCAATTGTCCAATACGATGTAACGTTGAAAGAAGCTGTGTACCCTTACCAAACTGACATATATGTAAAATGTCTGCAAGTATCTGTCATATATCTGTTGCAGTACTGCAGCATATCTGCAACAAGATCTACAATATCTGCAAAATATCTGCATAAAAGTTGCAGATAT